TAGAGGTCTGAAATGTAATTATGAGATGTGTAAAAAATATTTTCAGTTCATTTTGAAACTATGGCGGAGCAAATTAGACTATGGTCTTGTTAATTAATGGGAAACACTGGGGATGAGATGCTAGTACACTACCGCCCCACTCAAAAGTTATTCCCCACTGTTTGTCATCATGCCTCTTTACCCTTCGTCAATACGACCGCCATGGCATCGAAGATAATGAGCACAAAGCTCTGTGTGGAGCTGGAATGTGTTCACACTAGGGCTGTCCCCGACTAAAGATTTACATTGTCGAATCAGAATCGTCAAGTCCTGCCTATAGTCGAATCATGTGTGTTTTTGTGCAGGGCAATTGCAAGCTGAAGCTAAACTGAGGCTTATTGTTGACCATTTTCTCTCTCTCGCCCCTGTCATTCACTGGTCTTGTGCAGAGTTTTTGCTGTGCTGCACAACTGCATGCATGTCGCGGTTCCTCGCGGGTCTATTTCAAGTAGCCGCTGTTTAAAAACGATAAAATATTCTTTGTGCGGTTTATCAACGGTGATAAATTATCCAAAAGTCCCACGAGGTGCGGACAACTCTGCACATCACTGGTGAAGCTGTGGCTCCATCTCTTTAGCAAGTTTTCCTCCTGCCACTACACACGTTCACGCTACGCCTACACATGCGCACTGACGACCCAGGGTTAGAGTTACAATCTCGGATTTATTTATGCTATACGTTTTTTTTCTTTTTGCATGTTTATTTACAGCATTAAACACTGAAATGTATATTGTAATAGGCTGTATATTAACTTATTGGGAGAAAACTGGTAGTTGTAAAATCAGATGTGGAGCACCCCCATATAGACAAAATGGCATGATCCTTGTTTCTTTGCGAAGCTTTGACTGTGAGATTGACAGTCGAATCAGGCTCCGCCCATCGAAGCGTCAAATCTTGTTTTGTACTACATGCTGTTGTTGGCAAAGGACGGATGGGCAGTTCTTTCATTGCTGCTGGTTGTTTCTCAGACATTGTGTTTGCAAAACTTCTGAAGCTGTGCTGAAGATATTGTGCTTGACTGAGTGAGAGCATGCGTGAGGAGGGGGGCTGCGCAGCGTGTGCACAATCAGTCACTGTAAAATATGGAAAGTGGATGGATGGATGATAGGTGGAGCAGGAACGGCAGGGATTAACCAAATGTGCTACACAAAAATGAACACATTCTGTATAGCGAGCAGTTGTAACAGTGCTTGGATGAACTGTTCCTCTGCTCTTGTGGTCCTAGGTATATCAAAATGAAAGCAATTAATTTCTGCATGTTTTGCCCTCAATCCCAATATGAAGGCAATTATGCACACAATAGGAAGGATTTGATAATTCATCAGAGCCACAGACACCCAAAACATGAATAAGCAGTCCAGTCATGAGGGAAGGCAGCACAAAGAGAGGAGCGGGGTGCGGTCCCTCCCATGGGAGAGCTGCTCGCATCCTCTGCTCAACTTTTGTGTTTCCACAGAAACAACCGTGCATTAATGTTCTCTCAAAGACTATTACTCGCTCCCTGTACACATCCACTTAGCTCCAACTTTATAGCTGCTAATCCTTACCATCCCCTAAGTATAACTGGGCACAAACAATACTTCTCCATAGCTTAACATGTTAATCTGCCAGAGTAACGCTTCTCTGAATATACTGTACAGAGAGAGCTAAAAACCTCAAGCCTCTCAAGCGCTTCCTCTAAGGCCCTGAGAACAGCAATAAAAGTAGACTATTACACCCATAAAGCACTTTTTTCCCAGCATCACAGAGAATTATGTTGTTGTTGCTCATTATATTCCACTGTAATATCCACTAGATTCACCTCACAGAGGAAAAACACAGGCAGACAGCCACAAAAGCTCAGAGCTCGTATGAAGTAACACTGCGGATGGACTTTTTTTCTAAAAAGATATTCTCTGTGCTATGGTACATGTTTGCATTAATACAGTACTTTTTCAGCAATCCTTTATTTAATTTCTGTTTAAGATTTTGTTCAGCACATTACTAAAACTTATTAAAACATGAACCACATACATACAAATAGTCTGTGTTCGCTTGAATAATCACGTCACAATGTTGCTTTTACCATCATTATGGCTGAGCATTAATGCAGGAATTACAGAGAGAGAGAGAGACAACTAATGGATGGGTCACATCTAGAAAGACAGTTTGCCTCCATTTTGCCCTCATTTTCTGCATATGAGTCAATGACTTTCTCTGGGCCACTTCTGTGTTTCTTTTATAGCTAATATACTTACTGCCATGTTGGTATACAACAGTGCATTTGTTCTTTGCTGTGTGTAGTTTGACTGGATAATAGCAATTATGGATATGGAATGTACAACTCACCAAAGTCTAATATCACATTCCTTCGTTCTATATATTTGTATCCTTCTGATATTAAAATGAAACACTCTACAGTATGTTGAAATATAAAAACAATTAAAAACTCATGATATGGTGTGTATTATCTTCCTTTTCGAAAGCCATATCTATGCTTTTCACAGAAACTACAAAATCATTTTCTTGTGCTTTTCTCATCACTATATATATAAAATGCAGAATTCCTCAAAGTTTTACTTTTCAGTCTCAGTTACATTCTGCCATACACCATTTCTCTTGCAGATATCTATCACTACTTTTGTGCTGCCATGAACCAATCCTCCCACCAGATATCATTAAGGTTTATGTACTCTTATCTGTATCGGTAATGAACGGACAACACAAGTACCTGCAGTGTAAAGGGCACGCTCAGGGAGCAGCTGCACACGGTTACCATCTCCAACCCTCTAAATATTTAAAGGTGTTGTAGGCGGCCAGTAATTGTACATCACGTCTGAAAATTACATTTCAGGTGACTGTGTTGCCTGTGATTTAATAAGCGGCCGTCATATCTCCCCTAGAACAAGAGATACAGAGGAAAGTTTTCAGTAATAACATCATCTCCACACACAAGTCCATTAGCAAAACTCTGAGAAAGCCTGGAGCTGGAATGAAGGAATGAGTCACAGCAGCATGTTGATATTTGTGTCGATACAGAGGACACTGTATGCTGTAAATTCACATAATTATTCTCTTTATACTTTTTTTTTGTTCATTTTCACAGAAATTACACATTTCATACTGCACACATTGTCAGTCTACTAATTTGCAAATCTAACACCTTCCAAACATTTGATTTGGTTGAGAGGAAGGTACTGGACAGATTGCCATGAAATTGGCTGCAGATATTTGTATTTTAACAAATTTCCACAAGATTTGAGAACAGAGGATGACCCTTTTCCATTTTGGACACTTCACAAGCTTTCCTTTAATAATAAATATAAGACATTATAGCACATTCAACCTTGGGATCTCCAGGGCAAGATCTGAGACTGCACCCTCAGCTTTGAGGTTTGCTTGAAATAAAAGTCCCTGTACAAATGATCAAACTTGAATTAGTGTGGAGAAGCTCCTACAAAAGCACAGTAGGTCAATTTCAATTACCATTAAATGCCATGGGTCAGAAATTTAGTGTGTGAATTTAGATTTAATGAATGAATAATTTAATGAATAAAGTTCCCCTGCCAAATGGCAACGATGCGCTGTGCATCAAAAGTTTGACACTACAGATGCATGTATTCCTGCTGCTGATGGTTACAGGTATTTAACTGAAAAATAACTGCGTACATGCTACAAGAATGATGTTATTATTAAGAATAGGTCATAGGTCTATCAAAGTGAGTTGTGAATTTGGATTGGTCAGAGTGTGTACTTCCTCCAAAAAACCAGGAAAATTGCTTCTTAGATGATATACAGAAATGCAATTTGCATGTATCACGCATTTTTATTTGCTATTTACGTCACTTTTCACTGATAGATTGCTGCGATCCATCACATCAATTAAACCTTTTGTGGCGCAGCAGCGATCTTCTGATTTTACTGATGGAGCCTCCGGCTGCAGCTGCGGCTGCTTCAGCTGTAGTTGGATTGATCGGTTGGACGTGCAGATTCTCTTTTCCTGTTTGTGAGTGTTTAGTGTAGTTAAGTGACTTGTTTAAACAGACTCCTTACTTGTTTTATACTTGTGACTGTCATTTTCGGAGGAAGTTTGCGACTCACCACTAAAGGAAAAAGCACTCGCGGAGATCTTTCAATTCAGTTTATTGATTGAAAGTTAACAAATTAATTTTCAGTTGTTCACTTTCAACACATGTATCAAAAAATTACCTTAAATTCGTTTCCCACAACTTACTTGGTCACTAAACTATTTCACTCCTCCTCCCTTATTCAAATATAATATTAATTATTATACTACCCGTGAGGATGAACTAATAGGATGAGCAGCGATCTTATACAATTTCCCAATACTTTTATGTAACAAGAAACAAATAAAATAGATAACCTTGCTTGTCCATAACAACAATAAAAATAATAATAGCTTACCAATGCACTACTATGGCTTCAACAGGTGGCATTTTATGCAAGGTATCGAATGAAGTACTCTATTGGTATCGGTATCACTTTAAGGGTACTGGTTTGGTACTGGTATCGTAAAATTTTAAACAATACCCAACCCAACCCTACATATATAATATATAGTATAATCTAAACCATTTGATTTTCATCACTGTATAGCCTTTCCTTTTGTGACACGTTTGAGTTTTTAGCTCCACTAACAGTGAGGCTCTCAGAAAAGCATGATTATTGCTATGGTGGCATTATCTCTGGCAGTTTCATATTGTGGTGTGTGTAATGAACATTACAGCCTTTAGAAGCTACTTGTGGGCTTTATCTCCTTCAGTTGTTATTTCATATGTACTTAGTTTAACCAATAATTTCTATTGTCCTCCGTGTTTTCGTTTTGCTAATAACCTCTTACATTTGCTGCCTTCCTCATTTGTCTACTTTCTGTTCTTCTCCACTCCGTCTCTCCATTGCTTTCCCCCTGCTCACCTCTCATGTCAGTATTAACGCTCTCACCTCTCCTCCTCTCTCTCCAGCTGCCATCGAGGCCTGCCTGGGTCACATGCTGAAGAGGCGGGCAGCTGGTTTTCTCCGTAGCGACAAGATCGCCGCCCTCTTCACCAAAGTCGGCAAAGTGTACGACGCAGCCGGCGAGGTTTGCCGTAAAGTGCAAGAGCAGCTCCAGCAGCAGGCTGATCTCACCAGGTTGGTCACGGAGTTCTTCCCTTTCCCCCTCTCCCTCTGCTTTTAGTTTTTGCTAAGCTGAATTCAATAAAAACTGTGCAGCTGTGACTGAGCGCTCACTGAATACCTTTTATAAGAGACCATTTAGATTTCATTTTCTGATTGGAGTGTTCCTACAAGGGACTATACCTGACACCACAATCAGAATTTAATTTGTGCAAATTAAGTGAATCTGCCATCTTAGAGAGAATGAGATGCTCTTCTTTGTTACGGCCCACTTTGTAATGGAGGATAATACGACTCCTAGTGTTGCTTTAATTATGCACCAGAACATCAACAAATTAACATTACATACAGTACATTAACTATCAGAGGCAGGTCTCCCTTTAATACATTTTATCTTTATGGAAGAAAGTTATACCTTTTTCACAGCAGACAGTTTGACTTGTCACAGCAGGTAAAGAGCAGGTGTACTTAATAACATGCTCCATTCATTTACAGTACGTGTGCCAGTAAGCCATGCCACTGAGCCAGTGCCTTGCAACTAGTAAAACTAACTTCAAAGCGTCCATTATTAATGTCATTAGCACCTGGGCCTTTCCTGCTACTGACAGTTAAAAATTTCTGCTGTGAAAACAGACTTGTAATGTTCAATGTTTGCTTTGTTGTATGGGAGAATGATGTGTTTTAATTAAATTTTAAATGCCAAGGAATTAAATCAACACCCCTGACTCCACAAAGGGCTGTGTATTATAAGGTTAATTCCATATAATATAGTACACAGTGTGGGAAAATATCTATCCTAAACTATGTTGATGTTCTGTTCATGTGTGCTCCCTCAAGTGACTTCAGAAGTTCAACTAAAAAATTGCAACCTTACAACTCAGGAGTTAGATCGGAAGGTCGGCGGTTCAATCCCATGTCGAAGTTTCCTTGGGCAAGATACTGAACCCCGAATTGCCCCTGGCGGCTGTTCCGGCAGTGTATGAATGTGTGAATGTTAGTTTCTGTTTGAGCACTTAAGCTCAGTAAATGAATGTGTGTGAAGGGTGAATGCAGATGTAGTGTAAAAGCGCTTTGAGTGGTCGAAAAGACTAGAAAGGCGCTATACAAATATGGAGCATTTACAGCACATCGCAGCCTATATGTTTATCATTAAATGCACTGAAAACATGTTAAACAGAATGCACAAGTAGAGTTTGTTCTTTTTTACTGTTGTTTTTTTGTTGGTGTTGAGCTAGTATTTCATTCATGCAGCGCCAGCAAGATAATCATTAGCCATCTGTGCTTTTCATCAACTTTCAACATTTAAACATGCAATAAACTTATAACGTATAAATAGATAGAAAATAATTTATTTCATATCCCAGAAAATGTAATTTAGAGATTTTCGGGGGGTGTTAATGTAGGGATCTGAAACCACCCATTAAATTGCCAGTGCTCTGCACACTGCTTTTTTAGTAAATTTTTATATACCTAGATCAACTTTCTGTCATTGCTTGTACACTGGGTCATTATCGCCACGTGAAACACACAGCTACAGACACACTCTATCACCGGCAGACACAATCCCTGGTCAGTTGAGTGTTTACTAAAGCTGAGCAATCTGTGCACACACTGTGATAAGCCTCAGGCCTGTTTCTAGGGGTGTGTGTGTGTGTGTGTGTGTGTGTGTGTAAGAAGAATTGGTGTGTATATCGTGTTTGCATATGTATTTCTGCATGTATGTGTGTACACACAGAGTATGATAAACTGCTTTATCTGCAGGCACTTAGGTACTAGCCGAGCTGTTTGCAAGCCCATTAATTGTCCATTAGCCTGAGCCACATGGCTACCACATGTCTCTCTAGGGCTGCAGAGAGAGCTTTTCCAAATGGATGAGAGAAGGCTTTGGGCAACAAGCACATACAAATACACACATCTCTTTGTCTGCATATATGATACAGAAACAATAAAACAAAGACAGAATGTGTAGCGAGACGTCATAGCAACATGTCTGCATTATGTGATGTAAATCAGCGGAGTTAAACGTGTTAGGGTAAGCCGGGCACTCAGCTCTCCGTCTTCATATCAGCCGCCGTCTCTCGTTCATCTGTCACATCTCATTGGCCTTTATTTCCCCAGACGGACCGCACACAACATTAAAGCCTGTTATTGTGTATGGGGCTGGTTTGCACAAGTCCAACCCCTCCACCAGAACGCACACATGCGCGCGCGCACACACACACACACACACACACACACACACACACACACACACACACACAAGTATGTTCCCACCCTCTCCCTGTCATCCCACCTCGGGGCTCCATCCCTCATTTACCCTGGTTGCCATGGCAACATGGTCTGCTCCACTGGCGGCAAAAGAGGCAGAAAGCATGATGGGAAACATGAGACGGCGACAGAGAGAGAGAGAAAGAGAATATGAACAGGCATCAACAGTGGAATAGTGGAATAAAGAGTTACAGTGGTGAAATGAATGGTAATTACAGCAGAGCAGGACTGGGTTGCCTGAATTGCTATGTGCGTATGTGTGTGTGCGCGCGCGTGTGTGTGCACGTGCACACGCGCCAGGGGCGGGTCTGGTGAAGTGGTTGTATTTTAGCCTCTGTTTGCCAAAGGCTGCCAGTGGACACCCTGTCATGGCTCCTTGTTTCTCTGTGATGTATTCCTTTTATAACCTTCCTTCTCTCACTCCTTTTTTAAATCTTTTTCTTAGCAAGAGAGCACAATGATACATTACTAACTCACCACCTTCATTCTCCCTCTCTCCGTTCCTCTACTTCTCGTCCTGACACACAGGGTAAAGAGCAAAACCAGCATATCATCTGCATTAATTTCCTATCCTGCAGTGCTCGCAGCAGACCTGCTGAGGCAACAGCTCTCATACACATTAAAGCATAATTCCACTTTATTACAACTGGGGTTTTATTTTCATAATTTTGGCCATCAGCTCTAATTATTGAGATCTTGCATGTTGCGACATTGTTGGGGCAAGAAACATGAACATGTTGTTGATGTTTAAATGGTTCACCAGAAAGGCAACTGGTCAAATTATCACCTAAACTGTTATTAGCATCCAACACAGTTTATAGCTGACTTTAGCTTGCAATGTGAGGGTTACATGACCAACAGGAGTAGCTGAGCTAGCACTACTGCTAGCGAGCTAATCTTCTAGCCTGTTTATTACCAGTAGACCAAAATTTGCTGTGCGAGGTACTACTACAGTAATTTGCAGCACCAAATTGTATCAGTTTGTTTTGTTTGTTTGTTTTACAATTTTCTGACACTTAATTGACAAAACAGTTATTTAATTATTGGAGAAACCAATAGTCGATAATGAAAACAATTGATAATAGCAGCCCTAAATTGTTGTCTACAAGACATTATGATGTACCCTCTTCATGAGCTTCATTTCTCCAGCCACACAGTGTTGGAAGTCCTGCTGGCGGTAGAATCACACATTTGAGGAAAAACTCAGTGATAACAGAACTGCAATACAGAAATTGGAATGTAACTTATAATGAATGCTTTCTCAAATGTGGTTATAAAAATGTGATTAACAAGAACTTTGCATTAATATTCATCTCATAGCCGTTGTTTTTTTCACGTGAAAAAGTCTGCAGTGATTACAGTTGAATCACAGTGATAATCACTGCTTTGGCAAAACTGAATAGAGATGAAAATATTTTGGTTAACAAGCTTTGCTGGGGTTTTCCCTTTGCTCTAGAGAGTTTTGCACATTTTTAAGGAACGTTGTGGTACGCTATTCTAACAGTATAAGTAAGGCTAGCAAAAAGCAGCCTACTGACGCCTGAATCACATGACCCTCACCTGGAATAGAATAAAATATACTTGTCTTGGGCACAGGGCTGCAGTCTGTTGCTTCAAACATAAGACCAAATATGAAAAACATATTTCACTGAACAGACAAATGTGTAAGAACTGAAGTGTTAGATGCATAAGTGCTGTTGAATTTATTGCACTTCGCTCTTTTGTACTAAGATTTACTTTTAGAGTACAGCAGTTTTATAGAGGTTGGGATGACCGATAACTCAAGTTTGTTTGATTTACATCTCGGTACACTGATGTTTAGGGTCTGCAGACATTTTTTCTGCACGTTACCTGACTGCTTACTGGTACAGGCTCTGTAAGGGCTTGTACTCTTTCCTCCCTGTTATCCTGATAGCCACCTTATGTGTGCTGGCACTGTTAAGTTGCCAAACCGTGCTGTGATGTTATTGTGGGACACAGAAGGGAAGGCTCAAAATTGCCGTATCATCAGCAAATTTAAAAAAAAAAATTCTTTGGGTGTACTTTCCTACTGCAGAAATTGACACTCTGACTGGTCTGCAGCTACGCAGAACCATACACAACAAACTGTGATGCTCTGTGTTTTGACACCTTTCTGTCAGAACCAGCATTCATTCCTTTTTTACCTAGTAGCTCATCTGTTGGATTGGACCACATGGGCCAGCCTTCACTTCCCCCAGCTGTGCACGTTTATAGGTGATTTATTGGTCCTTTCGGAAACTGATAGTGTGTCACACAGCAAACATCAGACCAACAACCAGACAGCTGCTTTACAAATACAAACATCACCCGAGTGCTATACAAGGTACTACTAACAGGAGTGCAGACTACACGACTTTCAGCGTCGGCCCACTGCTGTCTTGTAACGGGAGTCTTGAAGTCGTTGTTGCGTTCACACTACGTGACTGACACTACAGGAGCTGACAGCGGCTGTGTCACCCGACGCTGGTCTCCAAACCACGTTTTGTCAAGAAAACACACGTGAAATGTGAAACACGAAATGAGCGATCCTGCACACGAAACAGCTGTTGTTTGTTATTATAAAGATAGCAATTATAAAGACAAAGAATCTGGGTGAAAGGATGGATTAGCACACGCAGGTAGCAGGGATTGTCTGAGCTACAGAGAGAGCTGGAGGTAAGTTAAAAGGTGCAGCTCCCAGTTAGTTAACTCATGAGATTACAACTCACAAAGTTACAAAAAGCAGA